TTAGCATCTACGATTAAAGGATAAAGCAATAGTTTTATTTTAGCTACATTAGTTCCACAGTCTCTTACGAGTCTATTCAAAGAGTCCTAAAAAAATTCTATGAACTCATTGAGGTTTACCTCCTGTCTTCCTCAGAGCAAATGATTAGCAGACTGCGCTATGAACTTTTACAAAGAACCCTTTTCTCTCATTTCTATCCATCTGAAAGATAGATTCTTCCTCCATCGTAAATAACTCATCATCTCATTTCAAATTTCTGGCAATAATGAGTTCTTGGCATGAACAAACCCTTTTTAACCTCTCTCTTTCTACTAACATTAAATAACTCATCTCATTTCAAATATCTGATAATAATAAATTCTCAGCATGAATATACTCTTTTTAATCTCTCCTCAATTCTATTGCATGGTCAATAAATTGTCTTAGTTTTGCATTTTATTACCAAAAAAATTAAACCTGCCATGACAAAAACATCTAATGTGTAAGGTGGGATTCTGAGATTTTTCTTTTACAGGCTCAGGACCAACTAGTAACAATATTCATGGAATACAGTCAGGTAACAATATTCAACCCCCTAATAACAAGCAATCTGAGCATTTAGAAAAATTTAATACTTTTCCTAATGAGGTTACTTTGGCAACAGTTCAAACCTAAGGTCACCTGGCACTGTGATTTTGAAAGGGATGAACTTCCTGTCACAGGTCCATGTAGTTTTCTTTCAATAATCTTCCAGTTTGCTTAGCTGTAAATTTTACAGAACACTTTCACGTCTAGCATGTATCTAAAATCTCCCTCAGGATAATATAGAGAAGTAAGGCATTTTCTAAAGGCCGATTTTGTTCTAGGCACCATGCTGACACCTGGATATTTAAAAAAAAAAGAACATGAACAAGGATGAATTCTATCTTGGAAGAATTCACAGTATAATAAATAATATCTATAAAATGTGCTGTAATAAGGAAATCAACAACAAACTGTGATTCCCCCAGCAGTACAAAGGCCTAACACAGTCTCTCCAGGAATGAAGGTACCAATGGTCCCCCAAAAGGCTCTGGTTAGGAGATCACATGGAGAAAGCTTTTGAAAGATGAACAGGGGTTCCCTGACATAAATATGGGATGGAAGAAAGGAGAAGGCACTCCCAAGCAAAAGGAACAACAAGTAAAAATGCCTAGTGATGAGGCATTTATTCCCATTTTAAAGATGACAAAGGTAAGTGAGCTGCCCAAAGTCACATGAATAATAATTAACAATGTATGAAACAGAATTCAGGACTATTGATTTTAATCAGCTTTGTACACCAGGAAATGCCAGCACATGTTGGACAAGTATACAAACATTAGTTTTTATTTACTACTTTACTCCTTCCTAAGAGATGGTCCAAGTCTGATTCATCTCCTTGGGAGGAGAAAGAGAAATGATCAGAGAAGGGGTTTTATTTAATCCTCAAATCAACCCTGTGAGATAGAGGTGTTTTATTACCCCCACTTTACACACAAGAATACAGAGACACACAGAGTTAACAAAAGTCAGAAATTAAGTGAAGAATCAAACCTAGGCGACTCACCTGACCAAGAAAACTCAAGCACTTAACCAGACCCTACACATCCTACTTTGTCAAACAGTCTTGGTCATTCTTCATCTGAAGATACCAGGGAGAACATGTAAGTTCTGGGACACATCACGGTCCCACAGATCTCATACTGTACCACACATCTCAACATTCACACAAATCCTCATTGGCTCCCTTATCAATCTGGTCTCCCTTGAGCAGGTAAATCCATGTATCAGGCAGCATGGTCTCTTTGAGCAACATTTTTACAACGTGATTTAACTGGATCAGAGCAAACTTAACAAAAAGCACTAACCAAAAAGGAGAACATCACACAATAAGAGCAAGAAACCTGAGAGTATAAAGGAGAAAGCCCTAATCCCTATCTTTCACTTATGTATGCTGTTTTTAGAGGGCTGGGGCCAAAGTGGTTCTAGAAGTCTAACATACTAGTACACTCACTGCACAGGAGTTCAGATGAAAGGATGGAGTATGGAGTACAACCTTAACTTTCCTGTATCAAAGGTTCATACGACAACTTGGACATCCAACAATCAAACCTGCCCCCTTATTATTAATATTTGGAGCTGCCGTGGTTTCCTACTGCACTAATATGACCTCAGGGAACTGGGGATCAGCATATAAGCTCAAATACTATAGCAACCCTGGATTTGCAAATAAAAGTTGACTGTTGGGGAGTGACCACAAAATGTCATTTCACCTTGAGGAATATGTGGGAAATGTATGTGAAAATTATATGGGATGTGGGAAAATTAATAAATACTGGAATGAAATGTCTAAAGATCCATGGAATTTTCCAGGCAAGAAGAATGGAGTAGGTTAGCATGCCCTCCTCCAGGGGATCTTCCTGACCCAGGGATGGAACCAGCATCTCCTGAATTGCAGGAGCAATTCACAGGAATTGCTGTCACCGGGGAAGCCCCATAAATATATACATACCTATGTATATATATATACATATATATATATATAAACCCATTCCTCCTCACTTTATGCTGGCACAATTTGGAGTTGAAGGGTCCAAGTCCAGAAAACAGGACATTTCCTTTCAGGCTCACTTTCAGACCTGTGAATCTCTAATTCCCCAAGTCAGAGGCAGTTTGCAATCTGCCAGCACATCTCCAGGCCAGTGGCTCCAAGGTCTCCCGGCACTGTGAAGAGGAGAGCTGACAAGCTCGCCCCCACCCCCAAGCCGCTTAATATCTGCATTGTCAGAACCACTATCATCCCATTTCTGTGACTTTAGCACCTGCTAATAATGACTCTTCCAGCCCCCCAGCCCCCAACCTGCAAAACCCACATGTCAGTTTCAGGGAAACAGAAAACTGCATCTCTTCACAGGTTCTGAAGGTCAACTGACCAGCTAAAAAGAGGGCAAAGAAAACAGAGAGGGAAATAAAGAGAATCTTCGCAAATAAGTATCTTAATACCTTTTTCAGACATTCCATGACCTGAGCTATAAGCTGAGCAATTCAAAAAGCAAGAAACTGACTTGAGATAACAGATGTAATACTTTAACTACGGCTAAAGAGGTAATAGCATTCTGGGCAATAAGATGTTCAATCTCCAAGTCTGGGGAGTGGAGCTGCTCTCTGTCATAGAAACAAAGTTGTGTTTTTTCATTTGTAGGCTACAGTTTCACTCACAATGTTATCATTTACTGTGCTACCTTTGCCATGGAGAAGGTGAGAATCGGGTGTGGGGAAGCTAACTCCTGGAAAAGGGCCCAACTCTCTCAACTCCAAGACATGTGTATATGTAGTTCCACGGTATAACCAGCAGCTATATAAATCAGCAAGGCTCCAATAGATGTTGCCTAACACTGAGTGCCACTAAAAGATAAAGCAGTGAAAATCTGAAAAACTAGATCGAGAGGTGCTCTACTCATTCATAGTTTTCCCAAATATTAGATTTATGAAATATTAAGCATAATACTTAATTTGAATACTGAAAACATTTTATATCCTAGAAGGTTATGTTGGGAACTCGGATACTGACAAGATCTTCTCTGCTGTCATTTTTTCCAGGTTTTAAGAACTGTACTCTCTTAAGAACCCCAGGACTACTTGTGGAAATAAAAAGGTGAGAGAATTTGAGGTGTCTGCTTCTGAGGTTTAATAAAATCCCAAATTCTTGAAAGGGGGAGCAACTTGAAAAAAGGAAAGTGGGGTAATTTAATTTCAATTAATAGTATCACTATTAGGAAAGAGGAAAATTTTACACCCTGTGCAAGAAAGAGCGTTGTTAACCATATTAAAGCAATCTGATTTTCTTCAAGGTAAAAAGTACTCATGACTAAGGGCTATTTACATGAAATATGAAGCATGTTTCCAATCTGAGGATACAGAATCAAGGAAGCAAAGCTAATTATCGACCAAAGCAAAAATAAGCTGTATTTGATATAAATTACAAATAGCCCCCCCAAAAGCGTTTCTTCTGAATAATAGTAGTATTATTTCATAGTAGTCTATGAAAAAAAAAAATGGCAATCGAAAGTCGAAGGGTCATTTAAAAAAAAAAAAAATAAATGTCCAAATGACTGAACTCAAATAGTCTGTCTATAGAAATACTCGGGGCCTCTGAGTAAAAATGTGAAGGCAAGTAGGTTGGCTTACTCACAAACAATTAAATGCATGAGAAAGAAAGGAATTAAGTGGGTTAAGTGCGGGCTGGATGACTGTGTTTTGAGACCTGCTCACAGGAAGCCACTACATCCTGCCTCAAGTCCCTGTCAGTCACGCTGTCTCTCGATTCAAGTCCCCGCCGCAGCGAGGTGGGGCGAGTACAGGTGTCCGGCCCCAACCCCTCCCGGCGCGCTCACTCACGAGCAGCCGTGCGGCCGCTCGAGTCCCGAGGCGTCTCTCTTCCTCCAGCTCTGGGCGCCTTCTCCAACCTCGAGAACGCAGAAAAACAGGCAGCCCCCTCCCCTCGGGTCAGCCCCACTTCCACGCCCTCCTCCGGCCGCGCCCCCCGGTAATTACTGCCTGGCTCCCACCACGGTGCGGCTCCCGACGCCCTCAGTCGCCTGGAGGCCTGCGTCGGAGGACAGCCGGAAGCTCCTCACGCCCCCGGCCCGCGCCCCCGGCCGCACCCCGGGCGGGGGCGTCCCCAAGTCCAGGCCGCGCCCCAAAGCCAAGCCCCTCGCGCGGGCGCTGCCCCCAGCAGCCCCCCTCCATCCCGTCCCCGGCAAATTCCCCGCACAGGGGCAGCCTCAGCCCACGCCGCCCCGTCTGAGCGACGCCTCCCTCCAACACACCCTCACTTCCAGACTCTCGTACCGGCCCTCCCCGCGCGCCTCGGACGGCCCCGGCCAGGCCCCTCTCGGCCCCGCGGTCCCGGCGCCACCACCCCCGCGCGTCCGCCGCCCCCTCAGCCCCACGGCCGCCGTCGCAGCCGGGTCGGTTCCCTCACCCCAGCCCCCGCTTACAGATCTTGCCCCGCAGGCTCTGCAGCACTCGGACCTCACGACTGTCCTCGCCCCCGGCCTCTGGCTCTGCCGTCGCAGTCGGAGCCGGCGCCTCGGAAAAACCCGCAGGAGCATCAGGCGCCGCCGCCGCCATGGTGCCGCCCGGCCTGTGCCGCAGCCCCGCCGCCTGCGTAGCCCGGCGAGGCGGAGCCCAGCCCGCGGCCTCCGCGAGGACGAGCCGCGCGCCTGGCTCCGCCCCGGACCTCGGCCTGGTTAGCCCCGCCCCGCCCCGCCCCCGCCCCACCCGCGGCCCCACAGTCACCGCCCTCCCTCCGCCGAGCCCGGGCAGCTCGGCGCGAACCCACCTCGTGCGTTTCCTCGACTTAGCCTTGTAGAAGCCCACACTCTAGCCAAGTGTGGCTCCAAGTCGTGGCTGTGAGCAACCTTAAAACCCTACTGAGAAAACCCCAGCCCTCCCAAGATTCCCAAACCCTTCTGGGAATTAGTTTCCGTACCCCGCCCCCCCTCCGCCCCATCAGCGGATTTATACATCTAACGCTCAAGGGAACTCCCTGCGGAAGGAACACAATGGAATTTGACAGTTGCCAGTGGACCTCAAAGCTACCTTTTTCAAAAGGAGCCGAGGTGCCTTAGAGACTCCGCCACTTCCCCAGTGATATCCACATGCCCTCAACCTCAAGCTAGACTACACAGAGAGAAATTCTTACTTTTACGTTTGCTCTGCGAAAACTGATTCAAAAACAGGTACATACTCCCAATCACAGCCTGAGTGCAGCGCCTGAGACCCTTCCAAAGAGGAATTTTGAAGAGCCTCTACCACCACTTCGGTATTTTGAAAACAAAGAGCAAAGAAGGGTTCCATTCCCCACACCCCAGCCCAGAAGTGATCTGTTTGAAAAGTTGACTGACACTAGGAAGCTCGTAAATCTTTGACTAGTTGTTAGCTTTTTTTCCAAGGGAACTTTTTTGCAGTGAGTAAACTGCATGAATAATAGCCTGGTATGTGAGGAGGAAGATAATTTCCTAGGCTTGAGGTTAACTGCACTGTCCTAAGAAGAAAGAAACTGTGACTTAACAGGGCAGGGTACGGTTGTTTTCTAGGGCAACAATAGCAATCAGTCAGGCTGCCAACTAATATTTTTTGAGGGTCAGACTTTAACAATAGATACCTTCAGAGACTGCACAATGTCAAGGTGAAGACAGCCCCAGCCCTCCAGCTGCTCAGTCTGGGAGGAGACACAGAGAAGGGCAGAGGCACTGAGAAAAGAATTAAGATGATTAAACTGAGGAGTCAGGGAAGGCTGTCCTGGGAAATGGGCTGAGGGATGAACTGAAGACAGGGAGAGGCAGAAAGCTGCCAAGGAGCAGAGGCCACCTGTGCAAAGGCTGGACAGCCAGAGAGAATGGCCTTGGTATGCGTCTGTGGCCTAGGAGTGACACTTTAAATTCTGCGTGGGTTCCCAGTGGCCTCTATGTGATTTTTACGCATGTTGGAGAAAATGAACCTGCCTCCTCTTGTATGAATGTTTTTCTGTCATTTCAAACAATAGACCCTAAACTTAATTCCCTATCTTCATTTGCAGATCTGAGTTCACAGCCATATTGTGTTATCTGGACTGGAAACTAAGACTCTTTTTTGACTCCCCTGTCCCCATACAGTTTGCAGTTGCCACATACTTCTGACTCTGCTGAAATCTCTTCTCTCTCTTCCTTCCTTTCCATTCCCTGTCATTGTCCTTATTAAAACCATCCTGTCCTCATTTGAGTAGTGTCAACGTGTTACAGAGTTTGTGTGTGTTTTCAAAAAGCAGGAGCTTATGAGACAAACTTGGGTTGGAGATTAATTCTATCACTTTTACATATGCGACATTTGGAAAGTTATGCAACCTTTCTGAACCTGTTTTTTAACAGTAAAATGGGAATTTCTATACTTATTCTTCCTTCTTCAAAGGGTGATTCTCAGGATTAAATCATTATTGAGAATGTGTGTGTGAAGCATCTAATGGAATGCTGGGCACGAAGTATGATTAACTCAGTAAACTTTTAGAATTGATCTCCCATCCTTCTCCTCCCTCCTACACACCTCTTAATCTTTTTAAAACAAAAATTGGAGTTTGTCACATGTCTGCTCAAAAAACCATCAGTGGCTTTATTCATCCCTTCAGCCTGCAGCAAGCTACACTACAGGTCATAAAGAGTACTAGAAATGATGAAGAGTAAAGTTCAAATTCCTTGGGCGAGTCTTCAGGGTTGGTCCTGGACCTGGCCTACCTGACTCTGCATCTCTCACCACACTGAGCCACTTTTCCAACCAGCCTGACTCTTTTAGTACAGTTCTTCCTCCTCCTCGACCAAATGCTGCCCCATCTATCTCTTTTTTTCTCTCAGAAAGAGGTTCTCTTGGACAGAGGTTCTGATTTGTACCTGTCTGTGGCATTGATCGTTTTCTACCTGGTGTTTTGTTACCTGTGTACTTGTTTATCTCTTCTTCTAGGTTCATTTTTTTTAACTCTCCCAATAAGTATCTTTTGAATGAATGATTTGAATCATATTAGCTCACTTATTCCTCCACTCTGCAGACTTGAAATGTTCCTGTTTGGGAAATTCTGATTTGTATTTATTATTCCTTTTCATACCTGTCCAAATAGTTAAGAATGGGACACCTTAATAACAACCTGTAATTTTAAATTGAAGGCTAGTTTTTCAGGGTTTCTTCCTTTCTTTGAAATATTATCTGTACAGCTGCTATGGAAAACAGTGTGGAGATTTCTTTAAAAACTGGAAATAGAACTGCCATATGACCCAGCAATCCCACTTCTGGGCATACACACTGAGGAAACCAGATCTGAAAGAGACACGTGCACCCCAATGTTCATCGCAGCACTGTTTATAATAGCCAAGACATGGAAGGAACCTAGATGCCCAACAGCAGATGAATGGATAAGGAAGCTGTGGTACATATACACCATGGAATATTACTCAGTCATTAAAAAGAATTCATTTGAATCGGTTCTAATGAGATGGATGAAACTGGAGCCCATTATGCAGAGTGAAGTAAGCCAGAAAGATAAAGACCATTACAGTATACTAACACATATATATGGAATTTAGAAAGATGGTAACAATAACCCTATATGCAAAACAGAAAAAGAGACACAGAAGTACAGAACAGATTTTTGGACTCTGTGGGAGAAGGCGAGGGTGGGATGTTTCAAGAGAACAGTATCGAAACATGTATATTATCTAGGGTGAAACATCACCAGCCCAGGTTGGATGCATGAGACAAGTGCTCGGACCTGGTGCACTGGGAAGAGCCAAAGGGATTGGGTCGAGAGGGAGGTGGGAGGGGGGATCGGAATGGGGAATACATGTAACTCCATGGCTAATTCATGTCAATGTATGACAAAAACCACTACAATATTGTAAAGTAATTAGCCTCCAACTAATAAAAATAAATGAAAAAAAAATATTATCTGTACAGATTCTCTTAATTTTCTGTCTTTCCTCTAGTTTAACCCCAAGTGCATAGCTCTATCACTAAACTGTTTGAAAACAATTTTACATAAAGTGTACAATTACCCTCTTTCCCTCCCAGGCAGACTTCTTGTTGCAGATTTCAGAATTATCATACTATTTCACTAAAACTTAGAAACTCCATTTTTTTTTCCCCATCTGGAAGTATTCCTAAATTACTCTATTTCTGAATAAACATTTAAGGACTTTAATATTCTTTTGCTAGCACTGGAAATCTCTTTTGCAGAGATTTTTAGCAGAGTCAGTGTTTCCTTAATGTAAAATATTTGGGAAATAAGGTTCTGTCAAGACTCAAAAGGTTTACTCACTATGACAAGAAGCCTGTTGTATCCCCCTCCCTTAATGGCCCTTGCATTGTGTTTTAAATTCAACTACAGTTCCTCTCATTTCTTCATGATGTTTAGTAACTGGAACAATATTGCATCATACACAAACTTGCCCTTCACTTCCTTCCTCATATTATTAATGAATGTGTTTAAAGGCCCTCACTCCTATCTCTACCCCCTCCATTCACTACTCTGCCCTTTCCTATTTCTTCACAAGTTTTTAACCCATTCAGTCATTTCGCCATAAGTTGGCTGGCATTATGGTAGCTAAAGTAGGGGAACTCATTAAGAATATGCCCTGCAGCTAGGAACTAGTCTCCAAATAGAAGAATGTTTTGAGTCGGCACCCACCAACCCATAAGAGCAATATAAGGGTTACCTGCTGGCCCTGAGTTATTTATTTGCATTCTTTCTGGTGAGTCATGGGGAAGAGAAATGTGCTTGTTTTTAATATTGAAATGTAGATCATTTCCATAGAGCTGTACACTCATGAGGCAGAATTAGTGGAGAGGCAAATTCCTTTGGTCATTGATGACTTGCTTTACCATTCATCTCACTTGTATCTCAAGTATTATGCACTCGGTTACATTGTACAACTTGCCTCTAAATGCAACTGGCCTTTTTCTTTTTGATAAGTTACAGTGGTGAAAGGTGAAGCAATACCTTTAACATTCAGAATATTTTGCAGAATATTCAAAATGTACTTTTAACAGTTTACCTCAAGATCAAACAGGGCCATAACAGGGATATGTTCAAAAACACATGCCAATTTTTATCCCAAAGCCTCTGGCTCCTCCATTAAAAATATTCTCGTGTTTGCCCAGCTTCCAGAACAGGACCTTGAAGGTCAGAATGTTGGAGCATGGCACAGTCTATGCCCTTAAGCCTGCCTGACTTCAGTCATTTCTTAGCCTCCTACCTTTTAAACTGTGATGGTATATCCACTTCGCCTGAACTGTGGACAGTGACTTTTCTTGTCATTTTATCTTTTACAAAGTCTTTACTGAATTTTTTACATTATCTTCTTCTTTTTTTTTTTTTAATGTTTTGGATTTTGTGGCCAGGAGGCATGTGGGATCTTAACTTCCCAACAAGGATCGAACCTGAGTCCCCGGCATTGGAAGGCCAAGTCTTAAATATGGGACTGCCAGGGAAGTCCCTTCCTGTCATTTTAGACTGATACAATAATGGGTCTGAAAACAAAACTGGAAAGTTGGACAATCATGCACTTGTCTCATCTCCTATTCTGTACTCAAGAAATTTCTATATTTGT